CTGACATTGTTCTTAGGCATCAGTGACTCATGGCTTGGAGTTCAAGGTACTATTACTACAATTTCTATAATAGTTTTCAAAGGTAACTTATAACTCTCAATCTCAAATACTAAGTGTGTGTTATTAATTGCTCTTTAGCTCATAAGGTCTAATTTAGAGAAATGCTAAAAAGATATAATATCTAAATTCAACATACTGGAATAATTGACAGAGAAGAAAGTATAACAAAAGAAAAAACCCCTGCTAGTACTGATTGATTGATTTCAATTTGTAAAGTTCAGTCATTTCCTTAAAATAGGTAGGCATATTTGTTGAAGGCTTAACTAACTGCTTTTTAATTTTACCTTCCTCCTATTTTTGTCATTTTGATTTAGCAGTAATACACAAAACAATAGTTTTTCATCTTGGTTTGGTTTGGTTTCTTTAAGAGAAATAAATACAAAGAGATTGGCTTGTGATATCAATTTATAGATACTCCCAGAGCTATAACAGGCAGCTCTAGAAAGCTTACCAAAATCTGGGAAAGGAACTAAATAGGCTATAGTGACTAGTTTTACTGATAGAGGAAAAGATGTCAGAGAGATGTAGAAGGCCACAACTATTAAGACTACCATGCCCTTGACTTCTTAAATGTTCAGAGAGCTGAATTTTAGAACACTTGGAGGCTTATTTGGGTTAAAATTTTTCAGTTATTTCCCAGAGTAATATATGCTGCTGGATATCAGAAACTGTGTGTGTATAAAATACGAGATCATTGATATCTGTCTGAGGAACTTGCACTGAATTTGAGAATTCAGTTGCTGACTCTTCCTGGAATAGTTGAGCATTTAGAGGATAAATATATGGAATACAAGGAAAGGAGCATTGGAAGCACTGACACAGGTTTATATCTGAAGCACAGAATTTACTATGTCTAGAAATACTACCACCTTTTAAAAACCTTCTTTAATGCAGTTGCAAGATTGTTAATGCATCATCCAGTGATAAAAATAAGAGTATTTAGAGCTGTACTTCTGCCTATTTGGATGTTGACATCAGTCAGACACTCTAGGAAGTTTAGCCAACTAAGGAGAAAAATCTTCCTCTTTGACTACCTCTCCAGTAGTCATTGTGATATGATGGGGTCAAATCATAAAAAATACATGTAGAGCAAATTTAGCAGGCTGTCACTGTTCTTTAGCTGTTAAACACTACTGAAAGAAACAAATTAGCAACCATTGCTACCTTTCTCAAGTTTTATTTGACTTTTCTTTTTTGATTCATTTACCGAAAAATCACAGTTTTTAGTGATAAAAATGGAAAAAGCCACTATTTTTGCTTTTATTTGTAAAAATACTTGAAGTATACTGCAAATAATTGATTTCCACTAAAGGCACCAGCCCCATAATTGTTGGTACTTTCCTTTCCAAAAAGGAGAGGTACCTTTATTGTTTTTGCTAACAGAAATAGCACATACATAAGTATGACCAAAATCTTCAGAGACTTAAGACTTTGGTAAAGGACTCAATTGTATATATAAAACAAAGTCCATTGATAAGAAAGTGCATGAGATCAAGTCTAAATACAGGATTCCATTACTGTATTGGGTTTTGTTATTTGAAAGTTGTGAGGCACTGTTTGCACATTTCAGCCTGAATCACTTGTGAAAGTTGTTCAGGAACACAAGGGAGAAATTATTTTGAGAAAAGAAAGCAAGGTCAGAGAAGGACAGAAGAAGCCAAAAACCTGCACCGCAGGGTATTGTAGAAGTCTCTGCAGTCAATGATACTAGAACATTTTAATGTTTCATCAAACCCCAGGTGGAATATATCTCGGTATGAACAAACCTCAAGTAATGATTTATTTATGTTTAGGGCATCTTAAGAGCAAGGTGTCTAAAAAAAAAAAAAAAAATTGTCCTGTTCACTCAAGGTTGTTGGCAGGGGTAATGTCTATGAGATACTGCTTCCTTCCTCTCAGCATGGAATAGAACCCTTTGTACAAAAACTCAGCCAGTCACGGTAATTTAGTGATAAGCATTATTAACTTTTGCTGTCAAATTTTACGTTAAAGAAAAATTCCAAAACTTGTTTCGTATGCTTACAGTCTTTCGTGAAACATCACCAGCAGTATCTTTGTAAGACACATTTTAAACACTTTGACATTGTTAATATTGTCATTTCGATCTTTACAGGAGGGATAATCGAGTCCATTTTTCTTTTCCAATCAGCAGCAAATAACTGCTGACTTCTGTCCTATGGTTATTTGCAGAAGAATACAACTTTAAAATGAATTTAAAAAAAACTATTAATATTCACTTTGACAGAAAACTTTCTAACCACTAGGGCATTAGATTAAATAAGTTGGTAATGAAATAAATGGGAGTGATATAAATTTGATTTTTTTTTCTTACCATTGTCAAAAATTACACTCTACCATTCACATTATCAGTGCAGTTGGCTCAGAAATAGTCTTTCAGTAAGAATCCTATATGTCACCAGGCCCTGCATTTCTCTGTGTAAGATATTCTTGACTTGCCACCATTAGATGAGGAATTTTGGCCAAGTTAATCTAGAGCAAAAATACTTATCAAAATCATCACACACCAAGAAGTTTCTTGGCCCTGTGGCAGAATGAGTTAGCCAATTCCTGAGCAAAGTGAACAATTTTTACAATCTGGACAAAACCTATTGGTTTCAGATATACTCTCACTGTCAATAACTTGTGTTTACTTGTGATTACTTTGTAGTTTATTTATCTTTATGACTGAAGTCTTGCCATCTTTATGGCAAGACTAAGTCATTGTTCTGCAAAAGCACATACTGATTATAGAAAATAAGGCCAGCAAAGCTTTGAAGGATGTACTTGGTAGTACATCATTCTGCCTAAAGATGGAATCAGCTGTATCTAATTTGTCCAACAGATGATAGCCTCAACCCATCTTAGTAACATCAAACAAACTGTATATTGCCTTTATAATGCTGACACTCAACTTGGCTATTCTATTCATTTGGGGAGAATTTTCTGCTCAATACCCGTGGATGGTTTAACTGGCTGACCTTTATTTTATGTTCTGTTCATTTGCCTACCCTATATAGTCAACTCTTGAGTATTTGCAGGCAGATTGTCCTGGTGATGTATTAGCTGTGCCATGGCTATGAAGGCATCTGAGCTGGCTTTAGGTTGAATAGTTTGGGTGCTTTGCTGTTCTGAGTTCCATGATCAACAGAAGCCCGAACCTTTCTTACCTCAATTAAACCTCAAACATTGTGGGCTCTTAATAGCCTCATCCAGGTCATCATACGTTATGTAAAGAGTTTTCTTATAAGCAAGTACGCTCATTTAGCACTTGAAAACCTGAAAGTAGTGGTCAATAATTATAAATTATATAAAGTTTGAATAGGGATTTCTTGTTAACAGTCACATCCATACATGAAAGAATAAATGCACCAACTTATTTTTGTCATTATTTGCTGTTGTGGTATAAAAAAATTGCCCTGAATGGATAAAAAGACACTGATTTCAAATACAGCAATGATTGTAAAACAAGTTCATTTTCAAATGAAATTTCCCTTGCATTTTTTTGGTCTCTAAATTGTACTTTAGACCTCCATCTATTATATCCTGGTCATTAGTGACCTACCTTTTCTACCATATCCTTCTGGGGTTTTGTTTTGTTTTTATTTTTGCCTTTCTCAAGAAAACAAAAGAAAATCATTTCCTCAAGGGTCTAGGAATACATATGTTTCAAAAGAAGGTGACACTCAGGCTAACTGCATATTGTTTAACTTGATCAAATTTGCTAGAAAAGCCAAAATATGCTTACTTGGAAAGGGAAAATAATAAGTAAGATATATTGTTTTTATTCGGATAATTTTATCCCTTCCACCTCCACCTTGATTTTCCTATTTAAGATCGGAGTTCAAATGACATCTGCACTCTGCTAAATGTAGTAGTTCCTATACTTCAGCTGGCTGTTGTAAGTGCTCACTAATGCTCCATACCTCATAATTTTCAGGCAAGAGTAATTTTTTAGGGTGCCCTGTGTTATTAAAACTTCCACTGAGTCCAGTGACCTGTCTTTTGATGTTTCCACAATGGTGTTGCTGAGTTCCTCTTTCCTCTTTAATGAAGCCCAGGATTTTAACTTGACAAGCTTCAGAGCTGTGTTGAAAATTTTGCTCATTATCTCACCCATTCACCCTAAACCCATTTCGTTTAAACAAGAAGGAGCACCACATCTATCAGTACTTTCATCAACTGCAGCATTAAATGTGAGTAAATATTTCATACTTCCTTTTATCCCTCAGTTATTATATTCATTGTCAACACAACATGGATATTTATATTGATCTGCGACATTAGGAACTTCAATTCAATTGCCATTACTCTTGATCAAGCCCAGTGAAGATGTTTCAAATATAACTGGAAAACTTAAGATGTTGCATCTCAGTGAAGCTTTCACTTTCTTTTATAAGGAGAAATTATATCACTTAAAACGTTCATGGGATAAGAATGACTTGTACATAGATTATCAGTATTTAAGGTTTTTTACTATTCAAGTATTCAAATAAAATAAAATACAGAATACAAGTCATATGCAGTGATTTTAATTAAAATGAAACTGTTCTAAACAAGGTTGTGTAGGTTTCTAAGCTGTTGGCTAAGCCTAGATTCTCATTTCTCCTCATGCCCTCCACAGAGGAAGTGCTGATATGTTCCAGACAATAATAAACTAGGAAATCCTCCACTGCTTCTCTCCAAAAAATAGCAAAGAAATACCAAGAATAACTGCAAATAGCTTCACAACCAGGAATATGTTTTATCTATCATTTTGTTAAAAATATCAAAATATCTGTAATACAAGCAGTTTAACCTCTGTAACACCAGGTAAAACAGATAACAAATGGTTCTTCTTCCAGAAATTAGCTTATTTGCATGCAGTAATTTAGGGGAATAGCATGTTCCCTTTGGAAATTAATTCCAGTATATCTTATACCTTTTGCTTTTCTGCTACTCACCACAAAGAGCAATATATAGACAAGTGTATGCAGCAGCAGTCTGTGTCTCTCCTTCCTTACTTTGCCTTGCTCTTGCTCTCCTATTAGCTGTAGCTATGCCGTCCTCTAAATACAGTGTGACGGGAACTGTATTACCTTGATAGTAAGTACAGATGCAGCTTTTGCACTTGCCGGCTGCCTCACGTTTGTAACACCCTCACTCCTTCCAGTCATTCATTCCGGGGAGGGGGGAATGACACCAGCATTTCTGAGCTGTTCTTGTGTTTTCTCCCAGAACACTCAGGGAAGGCAGACTTCGTGATCTCCATGCTAACTGCCAGCCTGCCTGCTGCCAGTTCTCCCTACTTCTGCCAGTGATGACATTCAGCTTGCTCCTCCGCACAGGATACAGCACTGATTCCTCATTATGTAAGGCAGTCTAGGTCAAGTGTAGGAGAGACACTGCTGGCCTGAGCAAGCTAGTGGATTGCTCCCTCAGCTTAATGCTTCATGGGGTCGGTCTGGAAGCTGGATCCTCATCTTTGCTACATCTTCTTGGGTAAACGTTTTTGCATGATTTAAATGGTTACTATGCTATTTTTCTATGCAGATAACTGTCAGCCATGCTGTGAATTGCAGAGAGAATTCGCTAGGTGAAACCAGCTCTGTCAGCATGATTGAATTATCAGAGTAGTAGTTCTTCTAGGCATCCCAGCTTTAAGACACTTTGCAAATAAATAAATCATAAATTAGGCTTGTTTAACAAACATCTTTTCTAACCATATGGGGATTATTGTTGATTTAACTGATTAAGCAGTGAATGAAACCCATGTGCTTGAAGGTGATGTGGGAATGCATTATTGGATATAGCTATTAGCTGTGAGAGGTTTACTGCAATTCTTGGCTGTCGCGTTGTTTTAGCCTTGCAAATTGCAAATATGCTTCTGTTATTAAACAAAACATAATGGGGAAAAATATCTTGTATTTAAATGTCTTGCACTCTTTGATCATTTTTAAAAGTAGCAATTAAAGCTAGGATGCTATTTACTATTTACTGCATGAATGCGTGAATCGATATGCTTCTGGTATATAGAAGGTGAATACTGCAGATAAAACTACGTTCAGTGACTGCTCTGCAGAATGCCAGAACAGCATATGTTAGCTAGGTTTGTATTAGAGGGTACCTTTTTTTTCATGCACCATGTAGAATTCAAAGGAATCTTTTATATTCACGCTCTGTTAAAAAGCAGTCTGTAATAAAACACGGAATGGGTCTGTCTTCAAATGAATTATACATACTTTGTATTGTTTGATTGTCAGGTGCTGAAATGTATGATTATACTGGAATGCAGTAGAAGAGGCCCTGGAAAGTAACAGCATAACATTGATACTGCAGTATCACGTAGGAAATTTCAGCAAGGCTAGCTTGCTTGCCAGAGATACTTACCATTTGATAAATATGTAATTATTTTTCATGTAGAAGAAATACTAATTGGAAAACTTGTGCGTATGTACAGCACCTTGGACAGTGTCACCCTCCCTCCCCCCTGGCATTGTAGGGTCTAATTTATGGGAGTTGGGAATTTGTAAAAATTAAATACTACTACTTTAAGATACATTAATGAATTCCAAAATATAGGGGAATTTATAGTTAAAATGCCCGAAAGAAACTTTGGTCAATATTGTATCAACCAGCTACAGTTAACACCTTTGTACCAAGGTTTCATTTACTGCGTAAACTTAAAAACAGTGATGTTCACATCGAATTATGTGCCTCTGTTCGTAAGTGTCTAAACAGAAAATAAAAAGTAGAAAATTATAATCTATTGACAGTATGGCATTTACAGAATTTTCATGTCTGATAGGTAACTGTTTATTCTCAAAATAAAAAATAAGGCCCCTTTCTTGAATCAGAATAAGAATAAATATATTTCCAAAGTTTTTATGGGAGCAGTGGAAGTCCTTTAAATTGTGGGATTTTTTTCCCCACTAGACACTAGTCGTTCTTCACACTGTTCTAGAAATAAGAGATAGAATTTCATTTCAACACTTGTTTGTAAGTAAGATGAATTATTTTATAATTTTCTTATAATCTTTAAAAGATTTCTTTTTCTGGAAAAGGAAAAAAACTGCCAAGCAGCTAGCTGTCTCTTCATCATGATCATAGCTTACTAGTTAGCAAGTTATTTCTTTTCCTTTGATAACAATTACATAGATCTGTATTGTGATTTAGTAGAAATCCCAGACTGGTACCTTTATTATTTATTTTCTGAAATAAGTTAGGTTCAAAAAGATATGACTTGGTTTTGGTATCTTGAAAACAGCTCCATTTTAATAATGCATATTACATTGTATAATATTTAAAAGATATCATTTTGTAGTCAAAACATGGAAGTGTTTCCTACAAAAATCATATTAAAGTCACAGCATAGTATGAGAGGTTAGAACAAAACTCCTAGGTACCACGCAGTATTGTAATGATGTTCTTCAGATTCTTTGCTTCTTGCTGCCTGAAGCGTTCTAAAATAGCTGTGCTGTTATATATGAGTGCACGGTGTTCTGTCCCATTTCAACAATGAGAGCTTCAGGTATTTACTTACTGGCTTAAGGAGTATTAATATCCTATCTATTAGATTCCAAAAAACATTGATTTATTGTCTTTAAATGTATGGTGTTCTGAAAATGTTATTTTTATTTTCTGCATCATGGTATGTAGCAGGGCAGGAGCTGTTCCTCTCGACACAGCAAGGTGCAGATGCTTGAGGAGGATACTAAATGTTAGAAGTCTGTTTCATATGTGTGTTTTTATATCCTATGTTCTGGTATGCCACTTTGGGACTGAGAAATGGAATCCAAACTGTAAGGCATTTTATGAACCCACTATGTTGCAGGGTGTGGATCATTACTGGTCACTGCCTCCTCCTGGTACTTTTCTGTGATTTTTTGGAATTGTCCAATCCATGACTACATCAGTAGGTTGCTCTCAATATCTCATATTTTGCCTTACCTCGCAATATGCAGCTTGAACTTCTGAGAAATTTTTCTCTTTACTTCCCTTCCAGAGAACGAGAGTTTTCTGTTCTACAAGGGATGTTCTATGCTTACCTTGAAGCATTGGAAATGTCACTGAAATTGGGGAGCATGAAAACAATGTGAAAGTGTGCAAATTAAACTGTTTTAGACTAATTATTTTAGCATAAGCAATGGTGATACAAATTCTTCTAATCTATAATATAAGCAAAGTATAGCAGTAAACATTAGACTTACTTTCCATAAAGACAAATTTACATGTCAGATTGTGTCTGCCTATTTTAACTGAGCAGTTGAGATATATATTGTGATGACAAACATATGCATACTAAATCCACGTTTAATTTTAGTGATAAATTGGAAAAGAAAGTCTACAAACAGCTATGTTCGTTTATCTCACATAACATTTAAATGTAAATCTGTAATACTATAATTCACAAACTTTCCAGGTAAGTGTGGGCTCTCAGAAATTCAGATCTTTCACTGTCTAGAACTGCCAACTTTCATTTACATTTAGTACACAAAAACATTCCAAATGTCACAAAAGTCTATTGATGTAGAAATGGACTATATCTATTCTAAAGACACCTGTTTAGTAACTGGCAGATGTGCTCTGTTCTTCGGCAAACAGTTGTTATTCTTTTATTCAGAGGATTCCCTTACTTTTCACTGAACCCAACTGAAAGTAATATTCGGTTCCATACTCCTATATTCCATTTCATTTTTCCGGTTCCTGGTTTTCTGTGATGACGTTTTTCCATCCTTGACTGCTTGTGTAGCTCTCCTGTGGCTGAGGTAGTTGTTCACATAGTTTAGAGAGAGAAAAGGCCCTCTCTAGTATTGAGTTTGCCGGCTTGTCCATGGAGGATCTTGATTGGTTCCTTCATTAGGTATTTGATGAATTACTCCATTACCCATTTTCCATTCAGTGCAATTCACAAAGCTAGTTCCTAGAGTAACTGAAAAAAATTCTGTACAAGAGTCAAGGGAGATTTCTTAGTGCATTGATAAACAAAGTGTACTTTAGACATTGTCACTGCAAACAAGATTCTCTGAAGAAAACCAGAGTGCACTGTTGCCTCGTGATCACTAAGGGTGGGCAGTCTGTGGTACTTGAACCAGAAACTTACCAGTCTGTTCTTTGCAGCACAGTAATTCCTGAGGCAGAGCCAAGAGCAGAACTGGTCAAAATTTGTATGAGGACATGTGGACCACAAATCTCCCTTAATGCAAAGGTCCACAGAATCTGAAATGAGCAAGATTGCAGGCGCGAGGCTGAAGTCAGGGAATATCTCCAGACAGCCGGGCCCCTGCTGTGCGAGGCATGGCACATGCTCTCCGTTGTGCCTTTGGGTGGCTGCTTCAGCTCATGACCATGAAGGGGATTACTCACACGGCGCACAGGATGGGAGAAACTCTCACTGTACCCGCGTACAACGTGTATCATAGGCTTGCTTGTGTTTGAAAGTTGTCTTATTTTACTAGCCATTAGCAGTGTCCTGTGTGTTTAGAGAAACAAAAAGAGGCAAGTTGGGTTTTGGGGGGGGAGAGGAAAGGGAAGTCATGTTTAATTTACTAACTTTAGAGTTGGAGCAGCCAATGTGATTGAGAAATCTATCCTCGAAACTATATATAGAAAAATGTATTTATACTATATCTTGATTTTTTTTTTCTGCATCTGTGGTGCAATATGTAAGTTTCAAACATTGAAACTGTAAGAATTCAAAGGATTTAGCTCTGTAGAAGTGCGAAAAAAAGTTGCTATAGCCTTGATAAAGTCTTCCAGCACTCTCAAACCCCATATCAGATGGCTTGGTCTGGTTCAAGGAGCCACCAAAGGAGTTTGATAAGACAATCACAAATTCTATCCATCTTCCAAATATTGTCTGTGGATGGAGCTAAACTTGAGCACCTGTTCATAAGAGTATGTCCAATGAAATGTGAGCCACAATGAATGCAGGTTAAAAAAAGACTTGAATACTTTGTTAATGGTCTTTCTAGGTATCTTAAAGTCAGTGACTATATTAAGTACGCTAAGCTGCATCTCTACTGATGCTTAAAGAAGGACATTTTAGGACTCCTGAACACTGGATGCTTTCATAATACATTAAAATTACGATTAAGTTGACAGGCAATTCAGCGTGTTCAGTGTTTCACTTCACAATGTACTAAGGGCAGTGATACATTCATGACTAAAACTGAAGGCACCTAAGGAATCTCAAAGATTTTTACTACACTGTGTTTATTGTTTAAGCTATCTAGCCTCTAGTTTATTGTGTTCTACTGTAGTGTTGGTTTATTTCAAAGTGCAACATTTTAAGGAGCTATGCCCTATACCAAGCAAATCCTAGACTGCACCCAAGATTAGAGGAACTTATATTAAAATTTCAAGCTGAGGGGTTTATATTGTGCTTTTTAACCTAGTGACAAATCTGTCACGTCTGGCAATTCTATCATTTCCAGAAATGTCATCTATGAACAGAACAACTTCTGGAAATGATCAGCTGGCATCATCAGCAGGAGTATCTGAACATGTTAAGCGTTTCAAATTTTGAGGGCAATTCTGTGTCATGTGTTACTACCACAACAAAGTAATTTGTCACCTGCAAATGCTGTTGAGCACCTTGAAGAAATTTGCAAATGTAGGAAAAAAGATATGTCAGGTTTTGTAATTAAACCTGAATAAGAATCACATAGCTCAAGAGTCTGTTCCAAGCAGTAGAGAACGGTTCATAGGTCTTTCCACCTCTAGGTCATAGAATTGAACTATGTTTGGCTAGCAGGGACCTGCCTGCAGTGGCCCTATTTAGTGACCTGCCTGTAGTACCAGCATAAAAGCTAAACTGAAAACTGGTGATTATGGCAGCAGTGTCAGAAAGCATGGAAGGTCTTTCTAGCTCAAGCACCTTCCAAGGAGAAAGGTTGCACAGTTATATCCAGCTTGTTCTTGTCCTGTGCACGTAACATATGAATCTCCACTGCAGGCAACCTTCCATACTGCATCTATGATTTAAAAAAAACACACACACAAAAAATACCCCAAAACAAAATAAAAATCTGGCCATTTCTCTTTTGATGTTAACCTTTGCAGAAACAATACTCCTTCTATCTAACTTCTGTAGGAGATGTAGGTTATATAGCTTTTTCTGCATCTCAGCATCTGAAGGTTAGTATTCAGATGTTTTGGGGGGGTATTTTAACTAAACGTTAAGAGTCTTAAGGTTTCTTGCTGTGTTTTTTTAATCACTGCAATATCTGCACGGAAAACATTTAACAGTATGTGAGGTTAGATTTCATTGTTCTTGTTAGAACAATTGCTCGTAACATTCTACTATTGTTAAATACTTGCAAATTAGATATAGTGAAAGCATCCAAGTGCTTGTGAGGGGCCGAGCATCTTAGCCACCACTGGGAGCTGGAGAAATTCAGCTGCACATAGCTTGGATTCAAGATTTAAGCCGTCAGAATTTCATCAGATCCATACACAAAAGGGAACGCAGAAGGGACAATATTGGAATTGAATCTAGGGGATCACATTCTTGATAGCTGCTGAGGGTCACTGCATTGCAGGTTAATGTGTCAAGTATCTGTTACATCACAGGTGGCAGCCTTGTTGTACACAGGTGTTAAATTGGTTTATTTTGTTTTATCTTTACATGCCAAAGCCATATTACATAATGAAAGAAATGCAGTATTATTTTTGGCCTTTCTTCTGTGCACCTCCCACCTTCCTAGTCACTGCCCCTTTTCCTACCAGCATGACTCATCCTGCACCCACCCTCCTCCAGCATGGGTGAAATTATGCTTTTCAAAAGCGTTTGCTGATGGCCAACCTTCCACTTTTTTTTTTTTTTTTGGTCATGAAAGCCAAACTAGGAATGTAAAAATACTGTCTGATTTAGCTCAAAACTGAGACTGATCCAGTGCAGCTGCAGTTTGTTGTATTAAGAGTTACTGTTACTTAGCAGACTGAATTTTAAAAAGGAGCGGTTTTTGTCTGCGTTCCAGATTTGGCTGCCCAGCTGTCATCCGAAAACATTGTAATGTCGAGCTCTGCCATCACAGGCAGGGGGACCAGTATGCGGGACTAGCAGCGCAGGCTGGAATAGATGGGCGCATCAGCGTGTGGTGGCTCTCGCACAGCAACTTTTTTTTTTGATTGAACCTGTGACTGAGCATGTTAAAAGCATCACTGCTGCTCAGTGGAGAGGCGTAAGACGAGGCAGACAATACATAGCTTTTAGTTGTGGGACATTTTCGTTGTGGGCTGAGGCTGCAAATTCTGGTGCCTTCAGAATAGACCACACTGCTCGTTTTCGTGTTAAAATATTTCCTTCCCATGTTTCAGAGGCAAATAATTCACAGAAAAGCAATGAAAATTAATGACAATTTTTACTTGTTTAACACCTGATAGAGTAAGCCATTTCCCAGCCTAATCCTTACCCCTTGTTCCTTTTTGAAGGCCCTGGGTGCTGTAGATGTTTGACTGTGATCTAAGTCAGAAGATCTTTTAAAAAGCCACTGGCAACAAGCTGCTCATTTCTTTTGCCGGTAGATGGAGCTGTCCTTCAAGGTGATGGCTCGGTGTCTTTTTTTTTTCCCCCTTTTTTCTGTCTTTACCCTCTGCCCGCTCTGTGCTGGTTTGTGTGAGGTGCCGCAGAGGGAGCCTCAGCGCGGGAAGCCGGGGACGCAGCCGAGAGCGTACTGCGCAGGTGGTTTGGGGGCGTCTGCGCCCCGTCCCCGCGCCGTCCCCGGGGAGAATGCAGCAACTGTAAACACTCGGTGAGCTTTTGGAACTGGGGACCTGAGCAAGCTTGTCAGAGAACATTTTCGCATCACTGTCTCTTGGTTTTATATTTTTGTTTTCCTCATAATACATTTGAAATTCATGTCTTATCAGGTAAGCCAGCAGGATGGTAAATCCTAGACCTTAGTTAATTTGTGCCGGTTATCTGTATGGTTCTCCCCCTCCACCTCTCCCTTTTTTTCTTTGGTATCATTTAGGAATACTTGCTTTATAGTTAGTGCTAAGCATAACACAGAAGAGGAAATCCAATTTAGCATTTTTCCAATGTTTCGAAAACTGCAGTCAGGTCTGGCAGCACAGCATTTTGTTACGAGACAGATTTCACTGGCCTTATATTTTTGGATATTTGCCAGAGTTGGGGGTTTTTTTTGTCTTTTTTATTTAAGATTTTTCCCCTGAACTGTTTAGAAGTAGTAACTATGTAATGTCGAGTTGTTCCTTCACATGTAAAACGCTAAGGGCTGAAGCAAATCAATTTGTAGTCGAAACCCTGGCACTGCAGGAGCGAATGGTCTTCCTTCCCATGCAGAAGCTCTGCTTTAAGGCTAACTGCTTTCCCCAAGCATCTGGGCTTTCCTGAAGGTGAAGGGAAGGGCTCCATCCTTTTGCCCTCCCCACTCCCTCCCCCAGTCTTTTTGAAGGGGGTGCGTAGCTAGACAACTTTATTTTCGTTTATATAGAGATCGGGACTGGTTGTAATGCTGTAGCTATGACTCGGTTCATAATCTGAACCGTCTTGCTTTTTTAAACAGCACAAGAAATTTGCCAGGTGGACATCAAGCACTCTCAGCATCTTTTCTAAAATGGATTTCTTCTCTGCTGCTTGTCTGAGGTATGTGCTTAAAAGATTCCCACTGAATTAATTTTTCTTGGATCAGACTGTCTGCTCCCCCCTCTCCCTCCCCCCAACAAGTTTTTTGTCGCTCGTTCTGCAGTATTTGAAAATGGATTGGTGCTTTGGTCTCAGTGTTGAAAGCCTATTCAGTTGTATACGTTTTCTGGAAATGCTTATTTTACAGTTGTGATATCAAGCTCTTCAGCTGTATTAGCTGATGTTACTATTGCATCCTTGAAATGCACCTACTTTTTCTATTGTGTTTTTCAAGGTTGACCCAGGTTTAATAAAGTACAAAGGAAAAAAGGCTGTGCTAAAAATGACTTTGAGAATCTCATGTGGAACAATAACAGGATGGTTGCTGTCAAGACTGACACTCAGTTAGTTTATTCTGTTGGGCCTAATTTGTGTGATCTTGAATATTTGCTGAAATATTTAGACACAAGAAAGCAAGTTAGAGACAGGCAGCCTTAATTTGATTGTCCTTGGGTTGTCAGGTATAGTCACAGATAATTTTCATGATTTTAAAGAAAGTATTGATGATGAGGGGCAGGAAAGTAAGGGCTTTAGCCTGTTCCAGGGAGGTCAGGTTTTTAATACATAAGTAATAGTGTAATCCAGGTAATTTCAGGGAAATTCTGGAAAAACGATAGCAATTTACACATTGTACTAGAAATACAAAATAATGACTGACTGTAATGACCTACAGGAAGATAATATAGGTGACTATATATAATGGAATCATAAATCTTACAGGCTGTTATGCAATGCTAGTTTATATCAGGAGTAAGGGTAATTTATTATTAATCATTGAAATTTACAAATTTTTTTATGTTATAACATGAACTTGCTTTGAAGTTTCAGAAGCTGTAAATGTCAACTGCTAAAATAATTGGGAAGCTAACATAAAATAATGAATGATTATCTCATTTAAAAATTAAGGTGGCCTTGAACCTTTAGAATATCTATGAATGTGACTTGTCTATTCAATATATAATCCCAATGCCAAGTACTTTAAAGGACAGCTGACTGTTGACTTTTAAGGGTGGCATCACTGCTGCTATCCATATCCCACCACATCCTGCCCTCTCCCAACACATGAATTCCTACAGAAAGTCTGTAAGAGTTTTGCGGATCAGTGACAGAGGTAGTTATAGTCAGGGGCCAAACCACAAACCTTAGCGTTGGATTTTGTCCTTTAAATGGTATCTTTCTCATCCTTCTCTGTCATTTTTGGCTACCTTAACTTGTAGAACTGAGATTAGAGAAGTGTGAAGGTTTCCTTGCTTTTGGTTATGACAGATAGTCTGGCATTATAAGGGAGAAATGGATACTTCCTTTGCAAAGTTCTTTGGAAAAGTGGCACAGACTTGCTCTGTATTTTTGTTTCCGCATCTATTAGAGCTGCGTTTGATAACTTTATGGATGGACGTGTTTCTTTCATTTTATTATTTTTCTGAACTCCAGTACCAACTCACCTGTGGGAAAGCATGCTGGCTCTTTTGGGGTGAAAACATCATGAATAGGCTTGTTAATTCTCTTCCAATGGCAGGAATATATTCCACCTTCAGTTTCTCCATTGAGGACAGCTGGTACATATACTGGAGGCAGCGGGACTCCACAGGAGTAATGGCGAGCTGCATTTGGCCCATAGACTTTATTTTGCTGCCAAAAGGAATAGCAGAAGACAATCTACATTCTCTTTGCTAGCAGTTGCATTAAAAAGTGAAGAACATATCTTCACATATGTAAAATGAGAAAAAAAACTGTTATGCAATCAGTAAGATAGATAAGGAACACCATTCAGCTCTGAGTACATAGGTGTTCAGTGTTTTCAGGCTTCCTGTCTTTCACTGACGGTCATGTTACCGTTTCTGCCTCTTCCATTTCCACCACTATATGTGGTTCCAGGGGCCCCTTCACACTCTCCTAGTGCACTATTCAGTTCTAACAAAAATAATTGATATTTATTTTGCACGTATTACCAAAATTCTGGGTAACACCCTTTCCTATCATATTTAATATCACTTGAAATACTACATTTCTGACTCAGCCACCATTCTGCTTATTCTTTGTATTTGTCAGCCCCAGAAGCTTACTTCCTCCTGCTTCTTTGTGCTAGGAAATTCTGATTACCTTGCTTTTTCTATACCCAAGTTTCCATCACCTCTCTCAGCAGTATCCAGTACATCTCTGGCCATCTTTCCAGTGATGCATTTTACAGTGTTTCCATCCTTCTTTTTACTCATTTCCCCTTTTTCTACAAATTTCTGAGAAAAGCATATTTTTTGGTCTCAGAAACAGCTCACTTTGTGCTTTCAAGCTCATTCACTCTATCCTGGTTGTTTATTTCAGTATTTCTGTCTTCAACAGATTTTCTGTTTTGTTTCCAGCACTGGGTTTTTTTTACCTACTGTGTAATATAATTCAGAAGATCCTGCTTCTGGTTAAAAACAACAAAAATGCTACATGAGATCCTGTCAAGGTCAGAAAGAAGGTTTTAGGAATAAATATAGAGGCTTATGTGACTCTGTTAGGCTTTTTTAATAGTGGTGTTGGTCAAAGATGACAAAACTAAGCTGAAACTGCACTACTTTATAGTTGAAGTAGTGTATTTGAAGGAAGCTTTCAAATGTTTGGTTATTTAAGTGCATTTTAAACCAATGACTTGACTGTGTTCCAGATGTATCTGCATGCAGTTCTTCAGTGCTCCGATCCCTCCCGGGACACCATTTTCTACTTACTCTTTAATGGTGTTTCCTTCAGAGTAAGATCTTTCATTTTCTTTGATGTTTTCAAATGTCTAACCATTTTATTTTTCTGTAAATTATTTGCCAAAAGGTAATCTTGCAGACTAAGATCTTTCTGAGGAAGATGATAGGTGTTTTTCTTAGGAATGCCTCAGAAGGGCACTATGTGTAGTTTTGGCAGGGTTTCCGGAGCAGGCCTAGAAGTAAAAACTGAAAGAAAGAGGGTCAGGGAGTAATTCGAAGGTACTGCAGATTAATTCTGTTCTTCCTGTCCATGGCGGGTAGGACAAGAAGAATGCAAAAAATACTAATTCAGAGCAGATATTGGGAAGAGCTTGCTGATGGTGAGGATAGCACAGAACTGGAATAGGCTGCTGGCGGAAGTTGCAAAATATCCACCATGAGAGTCTGCAGGAAGAGATTAGCTGAAAGGTCTATTGGGAAATAGGCATAGTGATCCTGCCTTGGGCAGGGAGGTGAGCTAGATGGCCTCTGACGATCTTTTCCTAACCTGTTTTTCTGTTAGTCTGTAAAAGGAAATAGATACATGAGGTAAAACAGACTTACAGAAAATAACGTTGTAAGTTATATAATGCATATAAGTTATACAGTGTTTGACCTCCTAAAAGCTATCTTCATTAGGTTCTTTTTTAAGTATGTAAGCATCACTTCCAAAACATTTCCTCTAGGCTTTATTCTAAGTATGTTTTGGTAAATATACATGTTGCAATACTTTAAATAGCTCTAGAAAGAGCTGAAAACATGTCCCAAAAGGCTGTTTAATTTCTTAGTGTTTCTCTTAGGTTAAATAGGCTTTACTGGGTAACCACAGTGCATTTATGAATAAAAGGAATAAAAAAAGAGAATGTGGCAAATCTGTTAAATTTTTTCTTATTGTCAGGAGAATACTATACAGTTAATTACAAAGACCTTTTTTAAAGAGAGAGTTTATCTTTAGCGGAGGGAACTAGGACAGTTCAAAAGCTGATTAAATGAAAGTGGGTGTACCAGAGCCATTTCAATGTTTTATATTATGTTTACACTAACATTTAGTATTTTTGGTGGCTGAAAAACCCAATCTGATGCATTTCTTTTCTGAAACTAAAGCCTAAAGAATGCTAAATATATCATCGGAAATACATAGTGATGGACAGGGACAGAGAACTATTCAGAAACCCATGCTGGCTACATTAGCGATGTTTAAAGGAAAGAGAGGCTATTCAACAGTTTTTTTAGAAATTTGTTCTTAACGTTAGCTGCGTGATGAGGATCTCTTCTGGAAACTCACCTCAGAGTATCTTTGTCTTCAGCTCAGATTATTTGCTCTTTATGGGCACACCGGTGGACACAGACTACCAGAAAGGATGACCCTTCATCATGTTTTCAGGACTTCATAATAGAAATTCCTTCATTTCTCCTGTTCGGGATTAACAGAATATTATACCTGAAAGAAATATATATTTTTTTCTTAACATTATAAGTTTGCACTTCAAGGAAAATGATCTGTGCATTAAAATGAACTTCTTCTTAGGCATTTTGGTTACATCTATGCCAAGACCAACTGGCATGATACAGCCTGTGTCTGCAAAGTGTCTCGTCCTCCAAAAACTGGTGGCCATATGCCTGCTGCCTGCCACCTGATGTAAGCTAACTCTTCAGTCACGCCCACAGACTTTTTGGGAAACTACTAACTAAAATGAGCCAAAACTGTGCTAGTGTCACTTCTAACTATTTAACAAGACAGGTGATTGTGTCCCAGGATCCCGGAGTATTTCTTAGTATTGTTTAATGTATTGGTAAGATGTATCTTCTAAGCTACAGAGGAATCAGCTGTTATTCATGTAAAGACATTAAAGAAAATACACCAAAAATACTTGTAAATGTGCTGCTGAATATTATACTTTAGTCCGTAGCACTGTTTCCTTGGACAGGGGAGCTTTGTAAAATTGCATGGACTGACACATCTAGATGAGGAAGGTCTGCTGGATCATATTTCAGGATGTTTTTCTCTGTTTTGTTTGTCTGCTTTTTGATGGGCAAATATAACACTGCCTGTAACATTGAATAGAAGCAGAATTTATGCCTGGGCTGGAAATGTGTGAGATTTTTTTCCCCAAATACTTTTATTCTAATACAAAAGCATGATTGGAAAGACCAAAGCAAGTTTCTAAATCAAGTGAAGACAATGAAAGCAAACAAATGACTTGCATCAGTAGTACTAGCTTTTCCCGCTATTCCTGGTAGAGT